TTCAGATCCATGTTCATGCCGCTTTAGAGCGGCGATATCGCCAGAGAATTCCTCGCAGCGCATTATCCGACCGCTTTTCAAACTGCCAAAGAGTGCGATCTCGTTTGGGTTGTCCTAACAACCGCGCGTCTCGTCCACCCCTGCGTCGTCGTTCCTCCGGTCGGGTCACGACTCTGTCTGGGAGTTACTTGGGATCGATCAAAGGTCGAAGCTTGAGTTTTTTTTCGATTGGCGAAGTCCCTGCCGTAGTGCCGATCACCACTTTTTAATCCAGGGGGTGGATACAAAAAAAGCTCGGTGTGGGCAGTCTCCAGCGTTCCGATGCGTGCGCTAGTGGAGCGTGGACAAAATATGCAGAAGAGACGTGATTCAGAGCGCTGGCGGCGGTCATTACAAAAAAACGCTCGGTGTGGGCAGCCTCCAGCGTTCCGATGCGCGCGCTAGCGTGGAGCGTAGACAAAATATGTAAAAGAGACGTGATTCAGCGTGCTGGCGGCGGTCAACAGTGGGGATCGAAGAAAACACGGCAGGCCTCCCGTTAGGCCACGGGGCCCCGGGACAATGTTGGACTCGAGGCCGAATCGGAAATTCCAGGTGCATCTCTCACCACTTTTAACATTATAACGGCCTACTCGGGTCAGCGTCTGAAAATGCGATTCCGCCTGAGTTTTCCGCAAAAAAAATCGCCTTCCAGGGCGATCTGAAAATTGACCGCGGCATCTGAAAGTGGCGATTTTACACGGGACTCCCGCAGACAAAACATTCAGATCCATCTTCATGCCGCTTGAAGGCGGCGGTATCGCCTGAGAATTCCTCGCAGTGTATTTTCCAACCGCTTGTCACACCGCCAAAGAGGGCGATTTCGTTTGGGTTGTCCTAACAACCGCGCGTCTCGTCCACCCCTGCGTCGCCGTTCCTCCGTGAGGGTCACGACTCTGTCAGGGAGTTACTTGGGATCGATCGGAGGTCAAAGCTTGAGTTGTTTTTCGATTGGTGTGAAGACCCAGGGGTTGTCCCCTGCAGTAGTGCCAATCACCTTATTGTTTATCCAGGGGGGGTAGTGTGCGGCCTTGAAAAAGAGTTCCTTCGTGCCTGGCTCGAGGGAGGAAGGAAGCTGGGTCGACGGAAAGAAAAAATGGGGGGCCAAAATCCCTGTGTTATTTTAATGTCGAATGGCTTGTGATTTTAAACCGACACACAAACAAACAAACAAACTTAAAAAACCTTGAAGCAACGACCAACTTTGCTTTCACAGCGTTTAAGCACTTACAAACTGGATCATGTGTTGCTTTCAAATAGACACCTTTTGTGGGAAACTACAAATGGATTCCTAATGTATAGGAATGAGTTGGATTCCTTGTGTGCAGACTTTTAATCCCACCAGCCTTTTGGGCGTGAGTGGTTTAGCGAGCTCTCTCTGTTCTCAACCCCCCTTCTTCCCCTTCGGGGAGGGGTTTACCCCTCCCCCTACCCCCTCCCCCTGGACCTGGAGAGGAGGTTTCGCGGGTGGTCAGAGGGTCCTTTTTCTATCCCTGGGAGGGCTAAAATTCGACACCCCTCACGAGGATCGTGGCCCCGACGGGGGTACTGACAAAAATGCTCGCCCCATCTGTGATCGATCGCCCCAAAGATGGCCCCAACAGGCCCCCAAGACGCTCCAAGAGGCGCCCAAGAGGGCCCCCGGACGCTCCCAAGAGGCTCAAAAGAGAGCCCAAGAGGCCCCTCTACGATCTCCAAAAGGCCTCCAAACTGCCTTGGATACGACTACTACTACTACTACTACTACTACTACGACGACGACGACGACGACGACGACGACGACGACGACGACGACGACGACGACGACGACGACGACGACGACGACGACGACGACGACGACGACGACGACTACTACTACTTCTACTACTACTACTACTATTACTACTACTACTACTACTACTACTACTACTACTACTACTACTACTACTACTACTACTACTACTACTACTACTACTACTACTACTACTACTACTACTACTACTACTACTACTACTACTACTACTACTACTACTACTACTACTACTACTACTACTACTACTACTACTACTACTACTACTACTACTACTACTACTACGACTACTACTACTACTACTACTACTACTACTACTACTACTACTACTACTACTACTACTACTACTACTACTACTACTACTACTACTACTACTACTACTACTACTACTACTACTACTACTACTCCTACTACGAGGGGCCCGAACGACTTGCACCAGGACGAGGTGCCCGAACGCCTCACGCCACGAGGAGCCCGAACGACTCACACCAGGACGAGGGGCCCGAACGACTCACACCACGAAGAGCCCGAACGACTCACACCAGAAGGAGGGGCCCGAACGACTCACACCAGGACGAGGCGCCCGAACGACTCACACCACGAGGAGCCCGAACGACTCACACCACGACGCGGGCCCCGAACGACTCACACCACGAGGAGCCCGAACGAGTCACACCAGGAGGAGGGGCCCGAACGACTCACACCAGGACGAGGGGCCCGAACAACTCACACCACGAGAAGCCCGAACGACTCACACCAGGACGAAGAGCCCGAACGACTCACATCACGAAGAGCCCGAACGACTCACACCAGGAAGAAGGGCCCGAACGACTCACACCAGGACGAGAAACCCCAAACGACTCAAACCACGAGGAGCGCTTTCTCTCCCTCCTCCTCCGCCTCGTCCTTCTCCCGCTCCCACCACAAGGAGGATGTACAAGGAGGCGAGAGGAAGGAGGAACAGGGGAGATATGCGGGGGCAGGCGGAAACACGCCTGAAAAACACGACTGTCGGCATGCTTCGCAAGAGTTGCTGTTTTGAGATGGGCTGGTGGGGATACGCGAAGCGTAAAGAATGTGATGCCTAATGTGCGGCCTTCAACTAGAATTCCCGTGTGCCTGGCTCGAGGGAGGAAGGAATCTGGGGCGACAAACAAAAAACAACTTGGGATACCACGAATGCTGTCTTTGATTGTAAAATGTCTTGAAATGCACAGCCAAAAAAAAAAACAAAACCATTTGGAAGCAAGGAAAATGTGTCCACAGTGTTTACGCATTTACACATTGAATCCTTTCGTGCGGTGCTCAAATAAAACCCATCGCGAGGGACTACAAAGCCACACAGTAAGAGTAAACTTGCGAGTCTGGACAACAGGATTTCGATTGTACCCTACAAACTAGGAACCATTCGCAGTTCCTCACAGGGTGTCCGTTGCTTCCAAGTTGGTTGTTGCTTTGCGCTTTGGGGCTTACAAGTAAGAACCAGATTGCAATCATACACACAGCGTTTTGGTCCAGAAAGCTGTCGTGTGTGTGTGTCTTGTTTGTTTGTTTTGTGCCTTGTTCGTCGGCCAGCCCGCCCCCCTCCCCTCCCCCTGAGCCAGGCACAAAGGAATTTCATTTGAAGGCCGCACAATAAAAAATCAATGCGCACGTCTGCACAACAGGATAACACTAATCTCCTACAGAACTGTAATCGGTGTGTACTTCCCTACAGACGGATTTTATTTGAGAGCCACACAAAAAGATTCAATATGCCAATGCGCAAGCACTGTGAAAACGCAGCGCTTCTTGCTTCCAAGTTGGGGTTGTTTTGCGTTTGGGGGTTTCCAGGTACAAACCAGCCTACCATCAAAAGCGCAGCACTTTTGGTCTCCCAAGTTGTCTTGTTTGTCTTGTTCCGTTGTTTTGATAATTTTCGTCGGCCAAGCCTACCCCTCTCCGCCTGGAGCCAGGCGCAAAGGAATTCGACTTGAAGGCCGCACAACATAAGTCAGTACGAAATGATTTCGATTGTATCCTAGACAATAGAAATCCATGCGTAGATCCCCACAAGAAGGATTCAAGGTGAATGATTTCGTACGCTATCACAAAACATGTTGGAGGTTGCACGTTAAATAACGCTGTGTTTTAATTGCATCATGTACACATGGCGTCGTATCGAAAACGACGCAAAGTAAATCAGAGGAGCGGCCCCTACCAACCATACATATGTGTAGATATAGAGATGTTAGTACGTATACATGTACAAGTAGAGATAATACACAAGCTGCTTCCTTCGGGTTTCGACGGGTATATCCCCAACTGGGGTGCTGACATTGAGGGTGTCTGCATAGGGATGGGGATGGGGATACGTGTCGGGTTAACTATATTGAGAAATTTAATACCGTTAACCCGCATAAGAAGGCCGCACGAGAAGGGTGCAAAGGCCTTGGAAGGCCATGTCGACACTTTGCGGGCGGGGCGCGGCCAGCGAAAGCGGCCAAGGATGTGCCGCAGGGGAAGGATGCCAGGGTAACCTTGGAAAGTTGCGCATCCCTACTATGCGGGTTGACTGTACAGTGGAGGCCAGTCCACAAGAGATCATCCACAAGAAACCCAACCCTGAGACCCCAGGACGTCCATTGATTCTTGGTTTGGGAACGTCAGGCCTTCCGTAGCAAGCCCATCGAGACCCAAGAAACCCAGAGCACCCTAGAGGCAAGCAGGGCGTTTCTTGGCATGGGCCCCCACTGCAACGGCGGCCCTCCCGCCTGCCCAAAATCGTATGCAAATCTACGCGTGGACCCCCTCAAGGGGTCTATCCTGCCCCGTTGTGCAGCGCGGGCCCAGCCGCGGCGACACGAGGCCCCCAGGAACCCCGCAGAAAACGACCAACGCCAGAAAGGGGCCGTCATGGTCTCGATCGGCCTTCCGCCCGAACCTCCCAGGCCATCCCGCGCAATGTTCGTTCACAGTGCGGTTTTCCAAGTGTCCGGAAGCCTTTCTTTCCCCAGGGGCCAGTTTTTCATCCCGAACCGTTGCGTCACGGCCCCGAGGTTGAACACAGCCCAAACCCTCTGCAGTGCGATGTTAGCACGGCGCGGTGGCGTCAGGGCCCGCCCGCTCCCTCACGACATCTCTCCCCCTCCCTTCCCCTTCCGCGCGCGCGCCGCCCGCCCTGGCCGCGGTCCTCGGTGACCTCTCTGGGGGCGCGGGCCGGAGCAGTGGACGTGGCGCATCCCGGAGGGGGGCGAAGGCCGAAGGACCGGCAGATAAGGAACGAAGCCCTTGTCTGGCCCCTAGCGAGCAAGAGAAGGTGTGATTTCGAGAAGACGGGACAACTGGATTCCGTGCACATACTGACCCGAGCCGGCGATCTTGTTGGCTCGAACGCGCCGTTGTTCCCAAGCGAACCTCAATAGCGCCTGCGCCACCAGAGCCGACGAGAACACGGACGTGGCAATGAAAATGGCGATAGAACGCGTCTTAATTAGCGCGCAACAATGCAACTATCCTACAAAAGCCGGCACATTCGCTTTTTACCAGCCAGGTTCCCGCACCACCAACACATCCATCGTCATAACCACCATCACCATCCCTACGACCATCATCATCACCCTCGTCCGCATCCCTCTTCTCCTCCACCTCATCATCATCACCACCACCATCACCATCACCATCACCATCACCATCACCACGACCATCATCATCATCATCATCATCATCATCATCATCATCATCATCATCACCATCACCATCACCATCACCATCACCATCACCATCACCATCACCATCATCATCATCACCATCACCATCACCATCACCATCACCATCACCATCACCATCATCATCATCATCATCATCGTCATCATCATCATCATCATCATCATCACCATCATCATCATCATCATCATCATCATCATCATCATCATCAGCATGGCCGTTACGATCATCATCACAATCTTCATCGTCCGTGTGAGTGATAATGTCTTTCCAACCTCAGCAAAAGGGGGCCCTAGGAGCCAAGCGGCGGCGAGCGGCGCTCGCACATGTCAGACACGCAAGCGTATACCACACCCGTGAAACTCTGTCACGCGTTAGCCGGTCGGCCGATGGGCACTTGCAGCAAGCGGAAACACATTTCACAAGCGGGATACAGCCAGTCCGGCCAGAATGGCCTCAGTCACGTGGCAAATCACTTCCCGTTCGGTACAGCGTTGCTTTTGGACCTCGTTTGGTGTTTCTTCGCCTCCTTGAGTGTTGATTCAGGACCCAGCGTCACGATATACGACCCCGTATGTAATACATGGGCGCCGAAAACAGTAGGCATAGCTTTTGGCGAAGTTATCGACTGACATCACGCTAGCATCAGTCCATCGCATCCTATCACAGAATTCGGTTGGATGCAATATCCCTACTTGCTCGATCCCGTTGGTCCGCATTTTGTCGTAGACTGTTCAAGTATATGCTCAAGCGCCGGCCCCCTCTCCCCCATGATTGGTGGTTCGAGTGCTCTTCAAGACTTATGAAAAACGGTCATCCAACGATGCTATGGTCACAGCTGGTACTTCCTCCCAATCGGGATGGAGTTTGCAAACTGCCCCGAACATGCATATCGCGTGGACGGTAGCAGCGCGAACGCGTACACCACACTCAACTCCATACAGGCTGCCAGAAATTCCCCGCCTGCAGCGTTGATTTATACACACGTCGAAACACCTTCTTGACAGGCATATACAGCGAACGTGATCACTATTCCACTCGACGAACCCGATCCCGCAAGTCTGTTGAAGAATGCTTTCTGGGACCTAAGAAGTCCCGGGTAACCTGCGTCGACAACTTCATCTCAGGCCCAACAAGCGCCGGCGACCGTCAGGACGCTCATGTCACTGTCCCAGCTAACGGCCCCCCCTTGAACAGCAGGCGCTGTCCGCAGATTGCACGGACTCTTCCAGGACATGGCTGACCCCCCCCCTTAGGTGAGGCACCCTTGCGTGGCCCAGTGCAGTTTCCAGGTGACTCGCACGATGCATCAGCCCAGGATTGCACTGTCGAGCAATGCACGACAAGGCTACGAAAACAGGTCGGAGCTGAGAAGTCTCACCCTTATCACACTTCCTCGCAAAAGGCGCTGTCCATGGGACAGATTGCTGACCCAAACTTATCCATGTCATCCTTCGCCGTTGCCCTGATGGCACAATCGGGAACCTGAAATAACTCCAGACCGCAGTAGCGGATCTTCCATGACTTGACCTCTCAACTGTCAAACTTAGCAAGCACTGCGCCTATGATCTTCTGACTCCCACTGTCCGATGACCAGTGGCATTATCCACGAGCGCATCGGGTTTTCGCGCCATCTCGCTCTCATCGCTGGATATGCTGAAGAGAGACAGCTGCGTCCCAGTCCCCCCTAGGCCGCAGACATTGAAACGCGCCTGGATCCCCCCAAAAAGCCTCGGCCCACGTCAAAGGCCCCCTAAACAGAACACGCACATTCAGCGCACCGCCGCCAGGAACACCCTCGAATCCGTCAGAGGGTGGCCTTAACAGGAGTTTGTCCAGCTCCTGCCTCTGGAAGCGAGCGGAAAGACGTCGGCGCTCCAAGTATTCTCGTCACCAGCTGCCCAAGATGCGACCGCCCTCAAGCATTCTAGTTCGCGCGCGGGCGAGTCGGCGCGGACGTCGCGCGATTCTCCCAGGTCTCCTCGCACGACGCGCCCACTCTCGCACTGAGGCTCTACCCGTGGCCCGTCTGGCCTCCGAACGCGTACGTTCGCGTCGGCCCCGATCCACTGCGTGGGCGCCGCGCGAGAAGCTGCTTCTAGACGTCATTGCAACTGCTTCGCGCCTATGAAGACGGCCGCATTGCACGTTCGCCCCTTTCCTCGCACGCCCTCCCTTGCCAATCGCAGACCACTCTTGACTTCCTCGGCGTGACAATGCATGTTCTTGGGGCTCTTCAATTTCTTATTCGACAATGTCTTGCCGACTACGCGTCCATTGAGAAATCAAACCAGGGGCGCCGACGAATTGAAGCTGCGGGCGCTGTTCGCCCCCGAAGCAACTCCACGCCAAACACGGCGGCGCCCGCCAGGTTCCTTGCGTCGCGCGAGGGGCGCGGAGGTCCAGGCTCAGGCGCGGACGCCGAAGCAGATTCGGGAACGGAGCCCTCTAGCTCCAGCGCCGGCCCCGACGACGCCCATCCCACGGCGCCCAAACTCCCGCGCAGCACCTCGCTGCGACCCCGCACTTTGCGCGGCGCAGCGACCGGCAGCGACCTCTGCGGAGGCGCGCGCCTCGGAACAAGGCGCGCCGACGCTGCTGGCGCAAGTTCAACGTCACCGTCGCCCTCATCGCCCCAGTCATCGCCAACGCCCACGGATCGCGAATCATCCGTCGGGCCCTCGTCTTGTTCGTCTTGGATAACGAAAAATCCGCACCCCCGCAGCACCGCCTGCGGCCGCGTTTCGTAGAACGCGAGTCGTTCGTCAACAAACGCCCGCCGTTGGACCTGCAGAGGGGCGCACCCCCCCACTGCCCCGTCGCGGCGCCCAGTTAAATGCCTGCGCGCCAGCACCTCCGCCGCGGCGCGCGGCCAGTGCACGTCGATTGCGACGCGAACTGGCACTTCTTCAGCAATGCCCCGCGCGTTCTCAACGCGAAATCTGCAGACGTGCTGCAGCGGATTTTTGCGTGGATTTCTGCCCATGCGAAACTCCGAAACGGCGAATGAAAGACGACATGAATCTCGCGTGCACTTTTATTGTCTTCATTCCTGATCAAAAAAAATGCGCACGACATGTACCTCGAAATCCAAAACGAAATCACCCGGGACACTGCAGGCCCATCCAATCGTTTTCCGAACGAAATCCGCTCTGCGACGCGGGCCCCATGAGAAATCCGCAGAAGCCTCGAGCCGGCACCCAGCTTGGCCGCCACATGTCGGCAGGTCTCCTGGAAGCGCACCACATCCCCAACCTGACGCTCGCCCGTCAACGGCGCGGCGTTCCGCGGCATTGCGCGCGCGGCCACGCTGCCTACGCCGCATTCAGCAAACGCTCTCCTCGCGGCCATACGCGCACACGTCGGTCGGAAGAAGTAGATAGAAACATGAAGTAGGAAGGCGGATATAATAGATTGGGTCCAGGCCCCCCCAGGGAATAACAAAACACAGCAAAGGCGTGTCGATTCTTGAAGTAGGAAGGCGCTTGAAGTAGATTGGGATCTGGCAATCCAAAAATACCTACTTTCAACGACCGGCGTGTAGATACCTGGCGCCCCCAGCCACGTCGGCGAGCGCGCCCAGTCGAAAGCTCCCGCCATCGAGCTGACACCCCGGCACGCGGCGGCGCCTGCCGAGCGCCCTGCGAAGGAAAGAATCGACCCTTGGAGACAATGACCTTTGGCACCCTCGACCTCCGCAGCCGCTGACATAACCTCGCCGTCTCCTTCGACGTTCGAATCATGAACCACCTCCTCCTCCTCCTCCTGCCCCCCCCCTCGCGTTGTCTTTCGTCATCTTCAGGGTCGGCGGCAACGGCCGCAAGGCCTTCGCAATCTACCCTTGGAGACAATGACCTTTGGCACCTTCAACCTCCGCAGCCGCTGACATAACCTCGCCGTCTCCTCCGACGTTCGAATCATGAACCACTTTCTTGACTATGTCACCCCATGGGCCCACGCGCCCCCCGTTCGTCGGCTCGACTACGGCGTCGCGGGGGTCGACGCCTCTGCGCTTCACCCGCTGCAGAACTATGTCGCGCAGACCTCGGCCAGGGGCGATCCGTTCCGGCGCTATTGCTCAGGCGCCCCACTCTGGCGGGGCGCTGCGAGACGCGCGCGAGAGATCGGCATAACCCTACCATGTCGGGCAAAGACGACACGTTGCAAGGTCGCGCCATGACAGGCAATTTTCAAAAGGGCGCACCCGTCGCCAGCGTTGCCTCTCACGTCGAGGCTGTCCACTCCTATCCCATGATCACACCGGAACTTCTTTGGCACGGCTACCTCGCGTGCCCGAGGGCGCGGCCCATGGCGTTCACGCGATTCGCATCCGCAGTCCCTGGCTGCCTCGACACGTTCTGAAGACATGCGAGAGAGTCCAACCAACAGGATCTATACTCGATTTGGAACGTGACTGCATTCTCTATGGACAAGCCGAATGGCGGCCCCCACGCGAACAGAGACCTCGAAGCAAAC